GGGGGGTCTGATTGGCGGAATGCCGCATACCCACCGTCCGTGTGTCGGAAAAGGGGGTTGCAAATGGAATGGTCCCTCTGCCATTCCGTTCACCCTGTAGCCAACCTGTGCACTGTCGCCGGTGCGTGAGGAACACTTGCCACGAACACGATATGACATGTCCACGCAGGTGGTGGCCAGACGTCATCTTTGCGTTCGGACTCCTCATCGCGCACTGCCTGTGTCGCCGCCATCGCGCAGTCCCGACGTCATCTTCACGTTGGGACTCCTTTTCGCGCACTGTGTGTCTCGCCGCCATCTCCCTCGCCAGACGTCATCTTCACGTTGGGACTCCTGTTCGCGCACTGTTCGTCTCGTCGCCATCTATCTCGCCAGACGTCATCTTCACGTTGGGTCTCCTGCTCGCGCACTGTTCGTCTCGCCGCCATCTATCTCGCCAGACGTTATCTTCACGTTGGGACTCCTGTTCACGCACTGTGTGTGTCGTCGCCATCTATCTCGCCAGATGTTATCTCCACGTTGGGATTCCTGTTCGCGCACTGTGTGTCTGCCGCGACCGTTCTCGCCAGACGTCATCTTCACGTTCAAACTCCTGTTCGCGCACTGTGTGTCTCGCTGCCATCTATCTCGCCAGACGCCATCTTCACGTTGGGACTCCTGTTCGCGCACTCTATGTCTCGCCGCCATCTCTCTCGCCAGACGCCATTTTCGCCAGACGTCGTATTCACGCTTGGACTCCACCTGCGCAAGCTTTCCCTCGCCGCCATCGTTCTCGCCCTTCCTTCTTCGCGACCGGTCGTCTTTCTCCCCGTTCGGTCGGGCATCGTTGTGGCAGCCGTGTGGTTGTCGTCTCTTCGTCATCGCCATCATCGTCGTCTGTCTTCTGGGCGATGATGAATACTCGCTCTGGCAAGGGGAAAAGGGAGAGGGATTCCCAGAAAACAAAAGCTGCCGGCGTCGTGAAGTGGGGGAGACATCAGGCGAAGAAGCCCAAGGCATCAAGCGACTGTGCTCTGGTGATCGGGAGGTCCGCGCGGGAAGAGTGGGTCACCGAGGCCAGCAGCGGACAGGATGACGATTTCGAATCGGAGGCGGAGACGTTTCATGGGAGGAAAGCTATGAAACACCCGCAGACGCATCCGCGGGGTCGAGCTCGGATCGCGGACCCAAATGGGTCTGCATCCGCGGCCTACCTGGTCCGCACCGCGGACCCGATTTTACACGAATTTTCCTGAATTAAATAATAGGTAAAAAACAAAAGAAAAAATATGGGGTTGTAGGGAATTGTAAGCCCTACAACTCCATATTTTTTGTTTTTGAATCCGACTTT